GTCGTTGGTCCACCTCGGGCGGCCATCGCGAAATTGGAATTTGGCGGCGAAAAAAAAAGAAACATAGAAAAAGGCGCGCACTCCCGGGTTCCAATTTTGAAATTCGAATTTCCGCAAGCGACAGACGGTGGCGTGGGCGTCCCTTGCGGCTGACGGCAGCACCGTTCGTCGACGGAAGCGTTTCGGCACGGGGTGGCGGCTGCGTGTGGGTAGGGCACACCGAACGTACATTAAGACGTTCGAAGCAGTCTACACGCCGTCACACAATCGCCGTCGTTGTCGTCTTCGCCGACGCACCTTCGTCATCGACGTGTACACTGTGTTGTGTGGCCCGCCACACGTGGAGTCTTCTGCAGTTGGCGACGGCCACATGGACAGTGCGATTTGCGGCGATGGCCATGAACGGGGGGAGGGGTGGTGACACATTGAGCAAGGTGGAGAGGACGGCGGTGGCAGCGGCCGTGAACGCCGTCCTCTTCCGGTGTCAATTGCAGAGGGGCGAGGGAAGGATGAGAGCGGCCATTCACGCACGACGGAAGAGGACGCTGCAGTCGTTCCATGCGGAGGGAGAGGACAGTGCTGCCATTTGCGACGCCGTGCTGCAGGTGTGCTACGCCATGGGGTGTGGAGCATTCCCTAGAGCGACGCCAAGGTGGTGGATGAAGCGACGGACGGGCGGGACGTGGGAAGATTTGCGGCATTGCGACGACGTAACAGCAGACTACTTCAAGGACAAGCTGCGCATGTCACCACGTCCCATCTCCCGACATTCGGCTCGACGGCGGCCTGCAGTGGAATTGGCGGACAGGGGAGACGAAGACTGCATCCACAGGGGGCGAGCCGACGCACCCCTCGACACAGACAACGTTCGGTATTGCTGCCTCGAAGGATCCCTGTTGTTCCCCGACACCTCCCAGATCGGCGCTGGAGACTTCGACGACCGCGCAACAGCCGTCACCTGCCCACCGTCGTCTTCGGCGTGGTTGTTGATGATCACCGTTTGCGACGCAGCCGACGACCTCCCGCTACACAACCCGAATGACAGATTGATGCCACCATCGCCCTCGTCACCACTGAGACCCTGCTGGAGGAGTTCGCTGTACGACTGGCCATGACTGTCGCCGCGGCTTCCACAGAGCTCTGTAGCCGCCCACTCCTTGGTGGACCCGCTACCCAGCGGCACGGTCAGTGAGCGTCTCTCCTCCTCCTCCTCGTCGGACGTGTCCGGCAGAGGCTGCAAGTGTGGTGGCAGGTGCGCGTACCCAGACCGCTCCGACGGCCTTGAAGTTCTCGATGGGCTCTGCCCAGCGCGCTGACCACTGCCCTGATCCCCTGCAGACCAGCACATCACCTGCCTCCCCTCCATACTGACGTCCTTCTTCGAACATCGTCTTATGCGGCCACGTCGTGGACCGATGCCGACGAAACACACGTGGAAGAGAACTAACAGCAGGAGCAGGAGGACGACGAGCACCAGCAGCGGCAGCCTTCGAAAGACGTCGGCCATGAAACGCACTTGGACGACGGCAACAGCTAGAACACAATGGTGGACGTCCAGGAAACAGCGAGGGTAAGTGCCGCAAACGGCCGATCACAGCTACAAACAAAACGAGCGTAACGTTTTCCGTCGCGGAAGACAGTGCGCAATCGGGAGAGCGGGGGCCAGCTGAAGTATTCGAATATGTCGACCGTTGGACGCTTTCCCGCGGGTGCCGAAGGGCAGCGACGCAAGGCAGCCCCTTCTCGACGTCGCGGAGGACGGCAGGCCGCCCAAGGGGACCGTTGGCGGACTATTCCACGACGGGAGCCGTTGCGAACCGGAGTTGTCTGTCCACAGGCCTCCAGGAACAGCAATGGACCAGCCGCGTCGAAAATTGTCGTCGAGGGAGCTGCCGTCGACGCCCCGATTCTTCCGGATGCTCGACCTCCAAGGGACCTCGGGAGGTCCCTTGGGGAACGCCTCGAAACGGCTGTAGCCCGAGGAATCCCCGAGGAAATGTTTTCACTTTTTTTTTTCATTTTCTTCCCCGAGGATAAGTGGAACGATGATTTCCTCGGGGATTTTACGCGCCCGAGGAGTGTCGAACGAGCCCCATGGTTGTACCTGTTAATTCACTCTTATTGCAAGAAACGTCCTGGCTCAGTATTGGAAGATAAAAAGCGTAGACAGCAACATACTGAAGTTTGTGGAAGACTTGACAGTCCCCTCTACCGTAGCACTAAGGGAAGCGAGAGTCTGGGTGCAGCACCAACGCGGAAAGGTGGAGGCTCGTATCCTCAGACTAGATGTTAAATCCATAGTGGTGGAACCATTAATGCTTGGGTGAATTTCCTCCCCCCCCCAACTTTGACCCCCTCCTTGATTACAAACCAAAAATCGGTGTATTAACACTTCATGAAAGAGTACTCAAAAGGCGCCTCCTAACCGCTCATAGACGTCTAGGGGTCATTCATCCCAGAAACAGGCGGCTATTCAGTAGCTACAATCTCTTCAAGTGACACCAACGGCGCTATGGCTAACCTCAAAAGGCATGTGCCTCCCGACTACCTGTGAGAGATCTGAGTGGGGTTGGGAGAACGCTGTTCACTTATGGATGTGCTGCCCCTTGCCGGATACAGTATGGGAATGGTGGAAAGAAAAATGGAAGGGTTGGGGGGTGGAGAGGGAGGCTTGAACAAACAACTTTATCCTATATGGCAAAGCTCCAGAGACTGCCTCCTTTGAATCCGGGATTTGGTACGTTGCTTTGGTGTGCAGAGGGATAATAATGGAAGCCCTCTGGGCAATGAGAAACGCGAAAGCTCTCTACAAGGAGGCATTATCGATGCATCAGACATACAACACAATCAAAAAGGAGATTCGATTAGTTATTATAGCAGACTGGAGAAGACAAGGCTCATTATGGTTTAACAAAACCTGGGCGAAGAACGAGTTTTTTGCAGCAGTCTCAGAGGACGGTAAACTATCTATCTTACCATGGCTGAGGAAATCTTCATAAGCTTTTGATCTCAAAACTTGGGCGACGGGGAGCAAACTGGCCTCCACTACAAGCATTCTGAAACATAGTTCCATGGCCACTAAGGAGGGAAGGCTCGGAGACTGAGAGACACCGGAGATGTTTAGGGACCGCATAGGTCCCGCCCTAAAGTAGATGCCTCCTCAGGTGAGCCCTTCCAAACTAGGTGGCTTGGCAGTCTTCACTGGTAGCTGTAGTTTGGTTATAAAGTCATTGATTTGTGAGGCTATGATTTGTTCTTTGAGGTAATACTTCCTGTTAGAAAGAGTTTTGAACTTTAGGTTTCTTCAGGCAGAAGGATTTGAGTGTTGGGATTGGACCAAACACCTTTTATTGTGCTTTTTTTTTTTTTTTTTTTTTGGCTTTTTTTTTTGGGGACAAATGCTCCAATCAATTGGTGGGGAGCAACACGGGCTGGGAACCGGGCCCAGCGTCCGATTAGAATATACAAATGATGTGAAGTACGAGGGCCATTACCTGGCTTCGGCTAAGAACAATCTGAAAACTATAAAAAAATTCAGGAAGATTTAGGAAAAACGTGGATAACTGTTGACCTATTGCTAGGCCACTCAAGCAGCAATTACCACAAAAGTCCTTCGAATGCTCAGAACCCCTGTACTCCCTGACAAAACACTCTAAGATTCTCTAACACTGTCTAATTCCCTGTCGAGCTCTCCCAGGCCTCATGCTCCCCCCCGTGCTAGGTTACAGGGCAACACGACTCACCCCAGCTCTGGCCAGCGTCGTCCCGACAGCAACCCTTGGTTTTCCCTTGGAATGCCTGGCCCAAGGCATCCCCAGATCTCTGTACCAGGCCCCACGCTCCTGCTATCAACAGGTTACAGGCCAACCCCCCAGCACCGGCCAGCGTCATTCTGGCATCGAAAAACCGCAGGTCCATGAATGTACCAGCATCAAAGATGCCTAAAATGAGTTGCAAGGAGTACCCAGAATCCTAAGGCATTCTCAAGGTTTTTTTTTGAGAAGAAAACAAAATTAAGAAGACCTCCCACTGCAAGCACTAATTGCCCTGGAACCAGGGGTTAACTGAGCAGGGACGCCCTTTGATGATAGACTTTTTTTTATAGAAAAATCTAAGAACAACTTGCACCAAGTACTAATGAAAACAGCCTCGAAGAGGCTAATAGAAGAAAACAGACATCTATACAGTATACTAAATGCAAAGGGCCCTTTTGTTTTTTGGAAGAACATTCAGATCGAGAAATACCTGCCTTAGAGTCTTTCAGTAGCCCACCCCTACCTGCCTCATCCCCATGTCCTGATACTTAGTCTCTACTAGGCCTCACGCCCCCAACTACTAGGTTACAGAGTGGCACGACCCACCCCAGAAGACTCCCACCTGCTAGGCTACACGACCCGCCCTGGCTCCGACCAGCGTCGACCAGCTTACCAAAGGATACTAGAGTGTCTTCCACCTTTGACAACTCCCCAGATCTCTTTACCAGGTCTCTTGCCCTCGTACAGCTCGAGTTACAGGGCAGCGCGACCAAGCCCCAACACCGACCAGCGTCGTTCTGGCCACATCTATTCGCAAACCCACGGGGACCCAAGACTACAACAAATACCAGACAAGCCACCAATCAACACCATAACTATAGTTCCAATCATTCAGCTCCTTCAGGCGCTGGTTGCAGATATCCCACATAAAATCCCTCACAACCCTACTTCGGCAAGTCTTACTGCGATGAAGCCACCATCTTCACTGCTGCTGTACCCTATTTCCACCCTGCAGGCTAGCCCCATGGCCGCAGAGCGCATTATCCCCCACCATTGCAACCACAGCCCCTTGCCACCAACGCCGATTTATAAAGAATTTTTTAATCAGAAAATTCAATCCCATTCAAGAACATATTGAGAAATCAGGAAATCAGAAGATTGAGAAAACCATATACACTTTTCAACGCCTACTATTCCCACAAGAAGAAGGGAAGGGAGGGGAAAACCCACCCAGGGCCTCTCTCCCCATGGAAACTCCAACGCCTATTCAATTCTCGATTGCATGTATAAGGCTCACAAAAACCAAAACAGATTACTCCTCTCCCCCCTAAAAAACGACCCCTGCCTGATCACTGCCTCCGCGGGGAAACGCCCCCTCACCTCCCAGCCCCTGTCCAGAACAGCCCCCTAAATATCACTCCTGCTCCCTCAACTGCATACAGTACCCCCTAAAGTATGCCCTGCAGAGCCGAAGATCCCCCTTCCCTCCTACCCCACCCCCTCCAAGTGAAACAGCCCTTCAACATCTCACCATGCTGGCATCAACACCCCTTGTCCTCTCTCCCCAACCGCCGTAGCTGATCCGACCAAAAAATCAGTGTGGCCCAGAAAAGGACAAACCCTCAACATTGTCCTTCCCTCTCAGGGATCATACCACCAACCCTGTGTAACCCTTGCAGGGAGGGGCTCCAACCCAGTCAAATTCAATAGTGAAAAACAGATAGGAACAATTTCCAGCAACAAATAAAACACTTTTGGAACTACCAGTACAACAACGCTCACGGAACTGAGGGGGCGCAGCGCGACCGGGAGCGTTGCGCCCCCACCGGAGCAACTTCAGACACAAAGCGGCGTGACGCAGGATGTGTCGGAGAGCCAGGCGATGCGATGGGCGGAGACGCAAGGATGCGAGGTGAGTGAAGGGCACATATGAGAGAGTTGGCGACAAGGTGGACGGTGGGATATGGTGGCGCATAGTATAGGAGATGGGGTATGTTGGGCAGCGACGGGGAACATCCACGGGTAGTAAGGTAGGGGGAGGAGGGTGGGGCAGATGGCAGGGGGTGTGGAGTCGTCGGACTAGGTTAGGGCTTGTCATCCTTGGTTGAAAACCCTTCCTTCTTCCTCAACAGTATGGTATGGGTATTGTTTAGGTGGTTTTGAACCCCCTGTGGCAACTTGTCAACAGGTTTGGCGAGGGGGTGTCACACCGCCTTTTATTTTCTTCGGGGGATTGAAGATGGTTGATCATGTCCTTGGTGCCTGCTTTGCTTTGAGCCTGGATGCTGGCTGCGGGAGGAAAGGAGTTTTTCTTCCCCAAGTATGCAAGGGTAGGGTTTGAGGGGTGCGAGGTAACTGTGGTTTGGTTGAGGAAGAAGGGATGGGAGACTGCTTTCTATTAAATTAGGATTCTGCCCATGCATGGCTTGGATGTCTGATTTGGGGCTGTTCTTTTCTGAATTTTTTCAGAGCTCCTATACATAATTGCTTGTATTAGTCCACGTTGCATTTGACTACACTTAGTGTCCTTCTAATCCTCTCAGATGGTTTCTGGATGAAATTTTCCTCAATACTTGTATTTCGTGAGCAAAAGTTATAATCTGGAACTCGTAGTTAGATTTTTTTCAACAAGGATTTCTCAATTCTCAATTTCCATAATCGTTTTTCTCTAGTGTCATTCTCAAAATTTCCGAATATTTATGATCTATCTTTGATTTCCTTCTTAATTTTTCCATGGTAGAGGTTCGAA